CTTTTCCGACAACCCAATATGTTATTTTGTATTTTGCTTAAAGAGAACAATAGGAATTTAAAACAAAAGCATCATGTTAAGTGCCAAAAAGGTTCTGAATAAATCTGCACAGATGTCTAATGCCACTCACACTAGTGTAACTCTATCTTGGCACAAGCTTCTCCCTGGTTAGGTCACATCTGTCAACGATACTAAAGTTTTTCTAACTCCAAACAGTAAGAACTGGCACGGACAGTTCAGCTCAATTTACATTATACTCTACTCAATGTTTCTTGTGAACTAAAACTGTCAGTATAGAGGTAATTTTCTAAAAGAATAAATGCAGAAACTTTTAGCAAGCCCACAAAGCACTCTCAGAATCCTTCTGGTGACCTGCCTTACAATCTCATTAGCATCAGTACTCACATCCCCTGTTAAAGTTACTTATAACACAGCCAAGCTTTTAAAGAAGGGACGGAAGGGGAAGAACAGCTATTATCACATGCTTCTTACCAGCTATGATTGTTGTTGCTTGTCGCCTCACGTTATTTTTATCCGTGTATTCACCATAGTCTACTTTCCCTTCCACATAAATTCGAGACCTAAAATAAATTACATTTATAGCTTTTAGTCTGGAGATTCTAATATGTTTTACATGAGAGTAATGAGTATACACTAAGGATGAAACATAAAACCATATAGACCCTCATTTTTACTACCGTTTCTCAAAATTCAGAATTAAGAGCACTAAAACAGAAGGTTCACATAGACTTCACAAATCCAGGTAAAAAAGACAACGTTTTCATCCTTGTGTTGACTACGGTCCTTAGGGAAGTTAAAAAAAAAAANATACTGTATACTGAGAATTTCTTCTGCATATCCTCCTGCACGCACCAGGATTCAAGATAAATTTTACAGGATCACATGGTCCGAGTTAAGGAGCAGGCTTCATTGGACTAAGAGAAAACTTACATCAACCACAGAAATGAAAGCATGGTTCCTCCTCATCTTCCTGTGACTACACAGCGGGGCCGGGGCGCTGCTGGGCGAGCAGTGTGCTTCGTACCTCATCCTCCCTACATGCTGTCACTTCCTGCAATGAAAGTGTGAAAGCAACTTTGTCAGTAGGAAAATAAACAATCTGCGTAGTGCTATGAAATCTGGATTCAGGAAACCAGCTATTACAGGAGTTGTCTGGGAAGGTCAGCTGACCCACACCTGGGACCTTGGTGCCTACAGGGTGTTGTAGTTTCCACTGTTAGAAGAAAATCACCAATTCTGTGGGAGCTGAGCTTATGTGAAGAACTTTCTTAGGAGAAGTAGAAGAAACCCTCTATTACCAGCTTGTTGTCTAGGCAACCTAGATTAAACTCCTAGGGTCATCTTTGGACAGTTTTCCTCATTGCTGTATACATTTTCTACAAGAATAATGATCCTATTTCCCAGTTTGTCCAGGACAATCCTGGTATGTGACTGTGATGCCAAGTAATTATTAATAATGGCCCCTTTTCGGTGTTTTACTCACTGAAGTCTCAGGCCCTAGGCTCAGTCCTTGGAACACAGAACTTCAGTACNATCTGTAAAGAAGACAAAAAATAAGTATTATTTTCAGAACTCTTTCTCCATCCCATTTAATCATTCCTCTCTAATACATACACATTTCAGTGCTGTTAAGTAAAAGGATTTTAGACAAATTCTCAAAATATTAACTCTTGCTATGTTCATGAGAGATACATACAACAGGCATAATAATGGAGCTGAAGGCTGGGCTTTGGCCGTTTGTCAACAATTCAGACCTTGTTAGAAGAGGGGGTTATTTTTTTGTCTTTCCTGAAGACAGTTAAGGTCTTCTCAGCAATAACTTTCTACAGAAGAACCAGTCACAAATTTTGATGCCTGCAATGCTCACACAGATGCCATTAAGCCAGGCAGCACATCCTTCCTTACCCAGAGGAAGAGCAAGACATAATATCCCATGGAGGAAGGACAGAGTTCAGTATAGTGCACTGTTACAAAGACAGGTTTATTTATGTTTTTGAGTCAGTTTGAACACTCACATAGGAGACATTTATTTTAAAATTTTAAAATATAATGACTTTTGTGTACTCATTCTTTGGAAAATTTTTACTAATCAATATTAGAGAACGCATTTTTAACTAAGAACATCAGACACTGTTCTTAAAATGATGTCCCAGGTAAGAGTTAGTTTAGGATGAGCGAAAGAAAAGAATTAAGTAGTATTTCCTGTATAACTCCAAAAGATCCATATTCTAAAACTTTATAGAATTATTCAAAATGGTTACTATATAATGACTAAATATTTGTTCATGACTATAGTCCCCTAAAAACAGAATATGTTAGTGCAGAACTGTTATTTCAGAAGAGATCACTAGAACTGCATCATTGTATAAAGGCAAGAGTGCCATCCACTGGTGGCTACTCTTAAGGTGCAGACATGATCTCTAGGCAAAAAAAAGTAAGGCCTATAAAATCGATCAACAAATTAAATTCTATTTCTTTCAATTCAAATGTCACTGAAGATCTATTCACTTTTACTGTACTATTAGCCGTAAACCTACGTCAATTGCTCAATCACCCATGCTCGTATATATTAGTGACAAGAAGAAAACAAAATGGCAGATAATCTGAAATGAATCTTTCTGGCTAGGTTCGTAACAATTCACGCATTTCAAAGTTTGCCCACACATTTGGTTTACAGTGGAAACTGAAAATTAATGCTTCATAAATACATGATCAAGAGAAATGTCAATTATTTTATTGGACGGCTTGATTTCCCACTGCTGAAATCATGGGTGTAGTTCTATGCCATGTAAAGG